GGACAGTCATTCCACAGTTTGCGTGAGTGGTGGAATGGCAAGGGTTAAAGATATAAACTTGAAAATAGAAATAATAGGTTTAAGTTCTAGAATCCTAGAAGTAGCCTTGTTCTTGCAAATTTTTTATTTTCTTTTAGAATTAAGAGTTATAAACTTGTGTAAAGCCTAAAGGCTTATACTGATGAAGTAGGCAAGCAGACTTATTTTACAAATATCATACGGAAATGTAAATTAACATTAAATGACTACAACTTACCAAAAAAGTCAATACATAGCAATAATATTAAGAAATTACACTTTTAGAGTACAACGAGAACACGTTGAGATAAAAACAAAACAATTTTTTTTATAATAAATTTACTCCCAGGCGAGTTCAAGCTTCAGAAATAAAAATTAAAGTTTAAATAAGACCTAAGAGTAAAACTAAAATTAAAACTTTAAAAGTACCGAAACATCGGCTCACATACCACGTTAATACTAATAAGATGGTAATATAGTAATACGTTCTGGAAGTATTAGCACATTAATAATAAGCGCATGAGCTATGGCCTCTTTTGAATATAGAGTGACATTCAAAAGTTCAAATGCACAATAAAAATACACAAACGTGTCCTTTGCAATGATAAAGAACAAAAACAGAACAATATCTAGGCTTAACGCTAAACGAAACTACATTCACCAGTACTCTAGGTAGTACGCCCATTGAAAGATGAAAACGTCACATGCGTAGTAACACAAGTAATAAATACAGGCTATGAATTAATCTTGAAACATATTTTGTATTCATTGTAATACTCTTATTTTTCTCTAGTATTATAGAATTATGACCAAAACAGGCCATTTTTCCATTTAAAAAATCAAATAAAGAAAATACACAAGTTACAAGTCTTTGTGACAACATATGACTTAAATAAATTATAAATCTCCTATAGTGAGTTTCGGGTGAAGTGCGTGTGTGTTTTCTTATAGCAAAGCCACATCGGGCTATATGCTGTGTCCACAGAGGGGAATCGAACCCCTGATTTTAGCATTGTAAATCCGAAGAATTACCGATGTCCCACCGGGGGACGTTTCGGTGAAGCTTGTTCATAAAGTTTGCTTGTTAGAGGCCACATGTGCGTTTCTTTGAAGACAATTGCAGCATTAGATAGTAAAAAAGGGATTTGGGAAAGAAAGTTACAAAAGTAAGAAAAAAATGACACATAATAAAGGCAAGTTTGCTATGGAAAAGAAAGTGAGATGAAATACTGGATTTACTAAAGTGTGCAATGAAAGAAGGCCTAAGTTTAACTAAGGATACATAAGTCAGATAAGGTTTCATTTGGCGTGTGGTATTCATGTACACTGCTGTATCCACAATTATTATGTTATCAGGAATTTTAAGCAGAGCAATATAAGAACACGAACAGCAAAAGAAGAAAAATGTCAGAAGTGAACAAAAAATTTTTATTCGCATTAATATTTTCATCTTACACCAAACTTACAGGGTTCTATTCATTTGTTTGAACACAAAATAGCTACTGTTGTTGGAGAGAGGATTTCCAAAAACATACCTACCTGAGAAAGACAGATTCTAGAATAATGTTAACCGCACTTTCAAGTCAGACCAAGGCTATAATGTTGTATTCCATAATCCTTAGATTACTTTAATTGACAATAATTCCTAATACATATATTGAAGGAAGATAACCACCCAATTCACAGTTTCACACCAAATCGTTCAAGTTTTTTTATCACATCTTGGAATGAGTAAAACTCTGCTGTAGGATATCTGACACAGAAACCAGTCCACTAATGTATGAATTCTATGAGTGAACATTGTACTATGTAACCTTTACGATCTTTCAATCTGTGATTAACACGATTGTCATTAACCACATATAGCACACCAACTTTTGGAAAAATTCCCTGAATATATTGTCGTAAGCAACATTTTCAGTGTTATAATTTGAATGTTTGCTAGAGGATGCATGATTATAGAAGACGAGAAGCTTTATCTAATAATAATATCTACAAATATGGATACCATATAAGTACGAGAATCGGTGAATTAGCGTGAAGCATTCAATGAGTAATCAGTGAATGATTCAGATCAATGTTAGTAATGAAAGTTATCGCGTCTGTTCAGCTATTCCATTGTTATCAAGGAAATTCTCAGAATCTCTGCTCAAACATTGTTTGTGTATACATGCACACACGAACGCAAGGAGGGGGGGATTCGAGGAGGTTCGGCCGAACCCCCCTATTTTTGTAATGTAAAAAAATACTGCCACTAAGTTCATGTTCATGTGAACATTCGGCATCTGCTCTCTGTTAGCTGAATAATTACCTGAGGTGTACACAAACCGAAGAAAGACTGAGCGTTCTAGCTTTAATACGTAATCATTATGACACCGCTATCAACATTGAAATTGTATGTAAGTTATTTGCTGAAAAGCATGCTAGAAGAATGGAGCATGCTAGCATGTTATTTCAGTAGTGCATACATATACGTATATCGTAACCAATGATTAAAATATCTAATATACTATTGCTGTATAGAGTTGTTTAAATTAGTAATATAATTTAACAATTAATAACCAATCGCTAATTTAGGTCTGGCTCCCCATGGAGTATTACAACAGAACGATGATTTGTTGACTTTTCATTGGATGTTTGTGGATTTTATATGAACAGCCATGTAACTGTTTAAGCTTTATTTCATGAAAAATTGCTTCCAGATTTAATCTCATAGCACCTATTTTTTTTAACTTTTCTGGCCCCGGTAGCATTAATATGATTTGCATTTGATCTTACAAAATAGAAAACCCTTTTCAAACATTATGCGTCCGAGCCTGGTACGTAGGTTTACAAGTTATGTCAAAGTAAACGCAGCCTGTAGCAAACGTTACAAAAGAAATAATTTAATTCTGTTGTAAGCTTATTTTCAGTGTTTTGATTTAGGTCTTAGCTAGAGGACACATGAGGTTAAGATTTAAATAGGTACATTAGTTATAAATAGGAGTGAACAGTCAGTGTGTCCAGGGCCAGTCAAAGTGAAGCATTTAATGACAACGTATCACATTTGTTCTTTAATTCAGAATTTGGAAAGTTACGTGTTTGTTTATTTTACAAGGCTAGTTCAATTTAAGCGTACATTTCACAGTTTATATTGAAACGTTGTATTTGAGGTTAGACCAACATGCTGTAGTGATTAAAGCTAACTGATGATAGAGTAGCAAGATCGTGACCACAAATGAAAGTAATTTTAAATTTTTTGGATACCTGCGTCTCAAATATATATGTGTGTTCACTATACCATTTTATCATAAACCCACCTTTACAGGATGATATACTGTTTTAAAAGCTTTGTACCTTTGACTTACAAAGAAATCCTAATTAAAATTTTAAATAATCGTGTCCATAAATTAGTGAATAATAATTAGATGTTTCACATTAAGTTAAATAAGAATAAAAAATAAACCCTTTAATAAAGATCAAAAGTATACAGACACACATATACCACAATTTCCTTAAGATAGATTATATACCCCCATTACGAAGGGGTAGTCTCGTAATCTGAAGGTCGCTAGTTCGAATCTCCATCACCGAACATGCTCGTCCTGTATGGTTCCTTATTGGGCCAGTCACCCAGGTGTAAAAATTCTTGGCTTACAGAAGTATCGGCTGACACCAAGCTATTGGGATTAAGGTAGTAACAGAAAACTTAGGAAGGAGTAATATTAACACACTATGCATTGTCTTAAAGTAGAAAAAAATGAAAACCTTTCAACAAGATGCACGTGAATCAATACATTCATTAATTATAAGAAATCAGAAAAACAACCATTACTAACAACATCATTAAAACATAAAATGAGATTACCATCCAATAATAAAGAGAAACGCAAAACAACCCAATACAAATAATCTTTTTAAAATCTTTGCACAAAATAACTCTTTCAAATATGTGAAAATACACTGGCATACATACATTTAAATGAAATCATTTACCCCAATAAAAAATAAAACTTAATCAAATACGTAGAAGCTTGTTACACAAAAAAGGATCAAGTTAAGGACACAATAATTAAATTAATGTAATGAAAATTTGTTTGAAGTTAAGCACAAAGCAACACAATGGACTATCTCTGCTCTGCCCACCACGGGTATCTAAACCCGGATTCTAGCATTGTTAGTCCGCAGACATACCACTGTGCAACTGGTGGGCAGTAACGAAAATACATCACAAAACTAACCACTTTAAATATTTGAAATATCAGGTAAGATAGTTCTTGCCAAGGAAAAATTATATAGCATATAAAGAATAAACACAGAATATATATATATATATATATATATATATATACCTGTACAATACTTTCATTAAATTAAATATAAAAACGTACAAAATAAAACATTTAATTTAATAAAATCAATACAAAAAATTACAACTATCACCCATTTGAATCGGGTCAAGGCTTTGCTTCCCTTATCTTAACTCCACCAGCAGTTTTTCCAGTGTTTTATGATTGACCATTGTAGTGGTCTTACACGTGTTCCTGGCTTTGGTAAGGGCTCTAGTGGTGTCAGGCACCTCATCCCACAGGTAGCATACCTCTTTCTTGAGCTGTGATAGAGGTATCGCCTTCTGCCAAGTCAATATTCCTCTCTGTTGTAGAGAGTTCAAGCCTTATTCTAGTTGGCAATTATCTCCTGGCATTGTCTCTTGCATATTGGAATCTGCTCTAGCACTGGGTGGATTGTTAGCACCTTAGGTGGTTTCATTGGGAGCTCAACACTTGGCTCTGGTGGGCCTGGTCTCGAGACATCTTTCCCAGTGGTATCTCAGTGGCTTCTAATGTAGTGGGTTTTGCCTCATTATCCTGGAGTGGACAGTAATCATTCTGGCTTCCAACAGTGATGCTTCCTCTTTCAGTGCACACTAATGGTGTAGTGATGGTACCTATGGTTCACAAGCTGCCAGGCTGTGGTGGTGGTAGCAATGATGGCAGTGTCAGGTCAGGTCGATAGCACCTCAGCAGTAGCTGATGTTGTCTGGGAAGCCATTGCACTCCTACCTTCCAAGAGCCTGTTTAACCCTGTAGAAGGTCCATGCTGTAGAAGGTCTGGTTAGATGCTCTGGAATGTAGTGCATGCATCAAAAGTTTGAACATGTGGCAACTTCTACGAATGGTGATTTTTACACCCTTCCAAAGTACACTTCACTAGTGGGTCCAATTTCTTTTTTGTCCAACATTTGCTCTTTCTTGGATGTTGTCAGTTGCTGGACCATTTGGAGGCTTAGCTCCTCTGAAGCCAATGGAAATGGTCAGTGGAGGCTTCACCTTTGCAGGACCTACCTCTGTCAATGCAGACTGCTTAGACCCCAAATAATTCGGGGCCAACCTGATAATAGACATGGCAAACTCTTCCATGTCTAATGCATCAACAAGTAACACATCTTCTTCATCCATGGGTTCTGCTATGGAAAATGCCAAGTCAGTTCCCTGAGTCCAAGGTTCAGTAGCATAGATAAATTTTTTGCTGTAAAAGAAGTTTTGGGCATACTTGTCATCTTCAAACAGGTAGTCCATCATTCAATTCAAGTTAGACATCAGGATATTTCAGCAACAAAGCAGAATAACCACTGGCTAGTAAAAGACAAAGAGGGCAATGGTGGTGAAGAATTTTATCGTAACTAGCAAAAATTCAGATTGAAAAGTGAAGCAATT